GCAATGAATGGAAGGTTGGGTGCGTGGGCGCTGTGAGTCATTGTCCGTCAGCTACTCAGAAATCAAAGGGCAGCAGATATGAGGCCACAGGTTCCAAGGCCCAGCCCAGCTGTGACCACAGGGTGTGGCCTCCAGTGACCGTTGCCTTAAAACCTGGCGTCTGTCTTTATTGATTTACAGTCATTCATTCCGCCAGGAATGTGTGTCCCGTACAGCCTGGCTGCCGGGAGGACATGTGTAGTTTACTGTGAGTGGGTGCAGGGCCTAGGGACGCCCAGAGAAAGCTGGCCATGGGACAGGGCCCAGGCAGTGTCCCTTGTCTGTCTGACCTCGACGGACAGGTGTCTGCTGCTAGTTTAGACACCAGATGAGAAGCCCCAGTGGTCAGGTGGGACTGGAACTGGAAGAACGTAAAAAAAAAAAAAAAAAAGGACAATTAAGAGGATTGTCAGTACTGTGCTACGGATATATTTTTAAACTTATAAGCGTTAACTTCTTAAAATTATAAGTTATAAAAGTTGTATTAACCCTAAGTTTTAAAGATTATAAATGCAACCTGACTGACGTTTCAGAAAATTTGGGAACTGACATAGAAATCACCAGCTAACCCACCACCCGGCCCATCGTGGGCTGTTGGAGAGTGGCTGATACGGGGCTGTTTTCTTGGGGCTGGGAGCCAGCAGGAGACCAAGGCACTGGTCGGGCGAGCGGCTGAGGGCTCTGCCCCTCGTGTGGGGTGGGTGCTTCCTGCTCTCTGGGCTTGGTTTCTTTTTTCTGAGTTGCAGCGAGCAGCGTTATTTACTGGAAACATGCTTTCCACATGCCGGAGCATCTTGGGGCATGATTTGGGTGAAGTAGAGATTACTTCAAGTCAAGAGCGTCACACTAGGCTGGGGAACTTGCTTTGCCAGGATTCAGATCAGAGGATTTAGTTATTCGCTCTCTTTGAGAACACGTTGATTGGGCCAGGTGTGTTCCCAGCTTCGTCACGGCCTTACCGAGTTTGAGGGTGACCCAGCTACCGGGGAGTCACCCTAAAGTCCTGGCTTCCCCAGAGCAAGATGGGACCCAATCCTGCCTGCCTCACCCCGGCCCGGGAAAACAAACACCGGTTCACAGTGACAATAATAAACAGAAACAAGGTCTGCTTTTTTTCAGCTTCAGGAATAGTCAAAACTTGTTCATATGGATGGAAACAGCCCAACTTTCTCAGGAACTGTGATGTTATCTTCCCATTGTCTATTTGGGGCCTCTCGACTTAGTCCCCCAAACCCTTCTGGCTGTGCAGGGACCCCTCTTAGCAGGGGAAGAAGGAATTTTAGTGGGCACCGTACCAAAGCCTCTCCGGGCATCATCTGGAGGGAAACTCACAAGAACTGTTTGAGGTCAGTAGTGAGTTTATCATTCTCGTTAGCAGATGAAGAAATAGAGGCCCAGAGTGATGACTGATAAACTCGCAGACACACAGCAAGGAGTAGAACAGGTCCAGGGTGCCCCGAGGTGCTCTCTGCGGCCGTTTCTCCAGCCCACCTCGGTCCAGCCCATCTCGGAGGAGGCAGCATAGCGCTCTTATGGGCAGAGTCCCTCCCCAGAGTTCCAGATGTGGTCTAGCCAGGTTTGGTCAAAGCCAGGGAATACTGGGGCATTTTTGGTCCGCAGGAGAACTATGGAGGAAGGAAAAGGCTGGGGTTAATCCAGAGATGAGGCTTGGTGACTCAGAGGGCGCTCTGTCGGTGTCTCCTTTCCAACCATACCCTCCTCATAGGAGCCAGCTCCCTGGCACACCGGGGGAGGATGTGCTGGGGCCGAGTGGACAGGAGGGCTGCCCGGCTGCTGTGTTCTAGCAGAAGGACAGGCCAGGTGTGGCCCCTCCGTCCTCACACCCCGCCTGGGGAAATGGCTTGGGTTTGGGACCACCCATGGGAGGCTGGCTCTGCTCACCAGGCTAAACTTCCCAGAGCCTCCGCTGGTCGCCAACAGATGGGGATGACACCCCCGCAGAACCGGCGTTTCTGGAGGGGGTGGGAGGTGGAGATTGTCTGTTGCACTGCTGGCATTTTGCAGCCCATCACCAGACCTGACCATGATCTAGATTTTCCTCTGTTAGGGGAAACCCACTCTGAAGCATTTCAACTTGATGGTACCGGCACACCTCAGAGATATTGAGGGTTTGGTTCCAGACCGTGGCCATAAAGTGGATATCACAGTAAAGTGAGTCACGTGACGTTTTTGGTTTCCCCGTGAGTAAAAAAGTTACGTTTACGCTACACTCTTGTCTATTAAGTGCGCAGTAGCATTATGTCTAAAACACAATGTACATACCTTAATTAAAAATACTTTATTGCTAAAAAATGCTGACCATCACCTACGACGCAGGGTTGCCATGAACCTTCAATGTGTAAAAAAATGCAGTAGCTTCGAAGTACAATCAAAACAAGGTCTGTCTGTACTGGGAGGAATTTAAAAGGCCAGGTGAGCCATGTCTGTTCTCTTCGGACTTGCACGTTCCCTCTCCACTTCTGGTGCTCTGTGCTGAAAGCAGCAGAATGCGTCTTAGAATTGTGGGTGTCAAGGTCTTGCTTAGGAGCTTGTTCTGGGGGGGTCTCTTTGCACTTGGGGTCAAGGGATGGTGCAGAGATGCGTGGTGGCGAGTGAGGAGGAAGCTCTGGTTGTCCTCAACGCTCATCTCCCCTCAGTACTAAACGAAGGCCACCTACCAGTCTTCCACTGGCCCATTTCCTGAGGTTAGCTAGGCTAGGATGGGGCCCCCGCTAGGTCCGGGACACTGTCAGAAACCACAGAGGTCTGAGAATGGACGTGAGGACTGGGGGCTGTGGGCTCGGGGTCTTCAGCTCTGCGACCCTGGGCAGGTCTCCGCGTGTGAGATTCTAGTGTAAGAGACCAGAATCGCTGGCAGAGGGCAGAGGGCCCTCCAGGCTTAGAGTTCCCTCCCGGTGGGGTCCTCTCGGTGTGCAGAGAGAAAACTCGACTTAAGGCACTAGTCTGGTATTTATTATTTCAATCGCCTGCCCCTTCCTGCAGATATTTTCCCCCAGAGCAGGGGGAGCCTGTCCGTGTTGAGGTGGGAGGATGGGAGGATGTCCTCCGTGCCTGTGAGGGCAGAGGCAGGAACATGGTGCGCGGGGTTCGCTTTCTTCTCTTAGGTTTGAGTATGAGGCCTTGGTGTCCGCTCGGGCAGGAGCGCACACAGCCAGGGCCCCCGTGGTTTGCTGGTGTCTCCACAGAGCCTGCCCTTATCCTCCCTGCCGCACCCTTGTCTCCCTCCACAGGGCAGGGGAGGCAGCTAGGATGCCTCTGCCGCCCCGCCAGGAAGCAGCCGTGTCTCCCTAGCCCCTTCCCTCTCTCTAGGGATGACAAGGAGACAGAGGAGGAATGGCCGGGACAGGGGGACATAACTGCCGGGGGTGGGGGGGAGGCACCAGCCTTTTCATCCATCCCTTTCTTTTGCTCTTCTCTGCCTGTTCTTTAATGAAACAGTTGTTGTTTTTGAGCAGGAAAGGGGGGAAAAGCACATACCGGAGGCTGATTTTTGTAGAGGAAGCACGTTTTCTGTGCTTTTTGAAGGCGAGGGAAGGAAACGCGTGAAAGGGGAGAGTGGAGGGGAAACGCGAACCAGTTCTCACTTTCTTAGCATCGGCCCAAAGCGGTACGCCGAGGAGGTCCCCTTGTCCTGAAAGGGAGCCACGAGCCGTGCCCGTGAAGAGCCGCACCTGACGCGCCCAAGGATCCGGGTCCCTGGATGGCGCGCCCACCCCACGGGGCCGCCGTTGTCGCCGCCGCAGGACTCCCCTTGAGGGGAGGGGCTTGTGGGCTCACGATGGGAGTCGCCTTGAATTCTGTAGCCAACTAAGACATTTTGGCTTAATTGGCTGGACTAGATGACCTCCCGTGAGGTCAGGGGACTCATGGTACAGGTTCACTGAGGTTGATTTACTATGACTTTGGTGAGACACAGAGGGGTGTGGGGGACAAAACCTGGAGTGGGAACACAGCCCTACAGTCCTGTGTCCTCTAGGAGGAGGTCATTCCTGCTGCTGGAATGTCCTCGCCGATCCAGCTCCCAACATGTGGCACCTTTAATCTGACTCTTGCCCCAAGGATGTCCCCGGGTTAGGTGATGTGCCTCTGCTCGCTGGCTGTGCAGTCTTCTGCCCCCTCACCCCACATCCCTGGATCCCCTGGGGACTTGGTTTCCCCTGTGTCCTGTGCCCCATCCTGCGCTCCCTCATCGTCTGAGGAACAGGCCCTACTGCCATCAGTGAGATGGACTCATGGGGCTCCTGGGTGTCGTCAGGAAGTACTGAAATGCGACCAGTGCCCTTCGAGGCCCACTGTGTCCTGTTGCCCTCCCGGGTGTGGGATGGAGCAGGGGCCGGCTGAGCGGGGAAGGGTGGAGGTGGATGGTCTTGAGAGTTAGGATTTGCCCAAGGGCTGTGCTTGTGCGGGGCCCACGTGCGAGGCCGGCCTCTAGAGCTGATCGCTGGGCCTCCAGTGCCAGCATGACTGGTGTCCCTGCCTTCCGACCAGGAGAGAGAGCGAAGCGTGGAGTTTTCTGCAGATGAGAGCTGGCGACAGCTTACTGGTATCAGAAGCTCCTTAAACTCAAGCAAGAGGGCTTCCCTGGCGGCGCAGGGGTTAAGAATCCGCCTGCTGATGCAGGGGACACGGGTCCCATGCCAGGTGTGGGAAGATCCCACATGCCGCGGAGCAACTAAGCCCGTGCGCCACAACTACTGAACCTGCGCTCTAGAACCCGTGAGCCACAACTACTGAGCCCACACGTCACAACTACTGAAGCCTGCGCGCCTAGAGCCCGTGCTCCCCAACAAGAGAAGCCACGACAATTAGAAGCCTGCGCACCGCAACGAAGAGTAGCCCCCGCTCGCTGCAGCTAGAGAAAGCCCGCGCGCAGCAACGAAGACCCAACACAGCCAGAAATCAAAACAAATAAATTTATTTAAAAAAAAAAAAGAATTGCATTAAAAAAAGCTCAAGCAAGAGTCTCTTTTGTTGCCAGAAGCAAAGTGCTTTTGAAAGTGCTTTAGGTGGTTCTTGGAAACACCTTGGCACTTGGCGTCACAGAGCCATGGATGGGTGTGACCGGCCCGTGGCGGATCTTCTGTGTGATGCGGATGGAGGGGTGAAGACGGGAGTCATTTGCCCGGAGTGTTTGGTGACCCCCACTGCAGACTCTGGGGCTGGGAATGAGGGTGTATCTAGCCAGCAGATGGACCCTCCACGCTCAGCTCCCAGGGACCCCAGATTTTGGCCCCTGTGTCCCTCGCTCGGATCTGGTGATACCTGGTCAAGATCAGGGTCAGGCTGTGCCTCTGCAGGAGCACCGACGGTAGAGCCGTGCTCTCATGGTGGGTGTGTCCCATCGAAGGCCACGGTCGCTCAGGCTGGCATGGCCAGCCGGCTCTGTCGCAGACTTGCTGTTTTCCCTTTTATAACAAATAAGGGACAATTCTTTGAGGCTATGTGAATCTTCTCCAAAGAGTGACGGGGCAGAATGGTGGCTCACGGCTCTCCTCTGTGAGTTCCCATAATGAGTAGAGGCTAAAAACCTCCGCGATCTCCGTACCCCGCCCCCTCCACCTGTCTCCTGCCGCCCTCTCCTGCCCTCGTCCCTCCAGGTCAGGAGGTGCCTTGACACCATGCAGGCAGCTGTGTCTCATCAGACCCACGGTGTGTTCATTTAGCTATTTATTTCTATCAGTAGGACTCATGAATTCCTATTTAATTGAATGGGTTATAATCAACATTATCACTATTTATTTCGATGTTCAAGCTGTCCCAAGTTTGGCCAGGGGCAATTTCTGCAAGCCCACTCCAGTCCCCTGGTGATGCAGCCCCGTCATTCTGGGAGCATTCCTTTACCCTCTGGCAAAAACAAACAAAAAAAACATTGCAGGTTCATTTGTGGTATCCCTGGCTCAGATCTGAAACCAGCCATGTCTCCAAGGAGCCCTGATTTCTTTTACTGGGAAACAGTACTTTAAAACCGGGACGTGGGTGCTGGATGTAACCACTACTGTTGGGGGCCGCTTCAGGCCACCCACCACGGACAGAGCTGGGGAGTGTATATATGCGTGTGTGTATATGGGTGCATGCTTGTGCATGGGTGTGTGTGCATGTGCGTGTGCACATTTGCATCAGTTTTGATTTCTGTCAGTATCTGTGTCTCTACATTGAAACCACGAGTTACACCAGCATCCGATTCCAGTCCCCCAACACAGCAATCACTGTCATTTTCTTCCTTTCCGTGTTAGTAAACCCCTTCATCACCAGGTGGTCCCCAGGACACAGGGTGTTCATGTGGTTCCTTCCCGCTCACCGCTAGAGATTCCCGCTGCCCTCGGGGTCAGGCCCTGGCTTGCACTGAGGGTCCCCTTCCTCTCCACTCCTCCAGGGACCAAGCTCACCACCCCCATGCCCGCCCTTAGGATGCGGCCTCTGCCCGCCTGCCTGGGGTCCACGCCCCGAACGCACACTGTGCTTCAGTTCACGCAAACACCCTGCCTTATGCACAGCGCTTGGTCTCCCGGCTCTTTTCCTGTCCACTTCTCCTCCAGGTCTCGGCCCACCCGTCGCCCGTTTTCCCGAAAGTCCCATGAGTGGCTCAGTGCCCCCTCATAACGCCACATGCAGATATTTCTGCCATCAGGTAAAGAGGAGTCGTTCGTCACCGGAGTCCCCGTGACGCCAGGCACACACAGGCTGCTCGTTAGCGTTCCGGGATGGCTGGGTGAGTGTGTGACGACGGGCCGTGTGGCAGCAGCCCTCCCTCCGCTCAGTCGGACGAGAACCCCGGGGTCCTGGATGGGCCAGCCTCGCATCCCGTGTTAGGGTCGGTCTCACCGCAGGGCTTCTGTCCCCAGTCCAGTCTGGGTTCCCAGCCCGGGCTGGTGATGCAGCCCCGAGGCCTGGTGTTGGAGCTTTGCCCGCACAGTCTGGACCCGGGCCCCCTGAGGTCCGTCCTGAGCACAAAGAACCTCCTTTGTTGCTGGGGACTCGGTGCAGCCGCAAGGCAGAGGCAGGCGGTCCGGCCCGCGAGAATCAGGGAGGACCGCCGTCTTACCAGGGGCGGGCCAGGCTGGCAGCACAGTAGTGGGTGAGTCCGGAGAGGCTAGAGTAGCTGGCTCCGTACCTGCCCTGGTTCCTGGGGTCCCCTGGGGTCCCTGGGCTGAGCTGGCCTCAAACCCTCACACTTCAGCTTGCCTCTGAGGGACGCAGAGCAGGAGAAGCCTGGGGGTGGGTGGGGCCGGCTGGTGCAGGAGGGTGGAGGGTTAGGGGGCTAGAGAGGGGGCCGGCTGGCAAAGCGGGGCGTCCGACAGGGGTCCCAGTTTTGTATTTGGGGAAGTTTGCTTGGGCTGGGGTGGTCTGGGCTGTAGCCCGACGACCGTCTCTGGTCCCTGGTTCCCACTTTGTCGTCACTATCTGTGAGGTGTGGTCGCATGCATCTGACGGGTTATTAGTAATAAAGTGTGGGAATCTTCTGAACGATGTACCTTTTAATCAAGTGAGAGGAGATTCGGATGTCCCCTGTGGAAACACCTGTTTGACTTCCAGTCTGGCAGCCATGGGCCTAGGAGCTCAGGACCATCATTTCCAGGGGCCCCATAGAGTGTGGAGCCCGGTCCTCGAGTTCAAGGAGCTTTATCATTCTGGGAGTTACCTGTTCTTTGCTGGCATTCAGGTTCCTTCTGCTGGTTCCATGGGTGAGACTGGTGATCGATCCAGCTGACGTCTGGAAGAAGTGTTTGCATCGTGCGCCCCCAGACAGCAGAATCATGTGCTTCTAGCTCAGCTTGCAGACGCGGCTCTGGGCTCCATCTTGTGTTAGATGTTGGGGACTCAAATGAATCTGATACAGATGTGCGTTCTTAGGGATCCTGCAGTCACATGGGGGTGAGGGATACCTATGAAGAAATAGCCCTGAGAGATGTTGGCAAAAACTAAAGTTTAACTACTCTATAGAAAAAGTGAATAATAATGAATGAATCTAGAAAATGAATTAATGAACAAACGAACAAATGACTATAGAGACAGATGAATAATCATCTTATCTGAAGGATGGAGGGAAATGAGAATGAATGGGTGGCTGCCAGGCAAGGAATCAGAATGGTGTGTTCCTGTTTTTGTGTGTGTGTGTGTGTGTGTGTTTGAAAGTTGAAGAGCAGCTTTGCTATTCCACCCCAGAAATGGAAAGATGGGTATTCAGTGCCAGAACCTGAGAGGTTAATGCTGGCCTTTGAATTGATGGCTGGAATTCGCACATGTGTTAACCATAAAGGCCCAGGTCTAGCCCACCCAGACTGCTCTCCGAAGCTAAGACATTTGGAGTTGCAAGCGGAGTTGAAGATCTGAAGTGTTACACCAACACAGGTCATTAGTATCGCACCCTGGGCTGGGCGTGGAGGCCGGCCAAGCCACTAGGGCACACAGTTCCGCTATGGCTGAGGCCATACAGCTCCCTAGGCCATGTGCTACTATGCATGGACCTCCTCTACGGGACCCCACGGAAGGGAGGACGTGGCCTCAGCCGAACATGTCCACGATCAAGGGAGCCTTTCCCAGGAGTGGGTTGCCAGAGCTTTCCATGGTGGAAAGCTTAGATCCACTGCTCCACGACCCCAGCCCAAGACAAGTCAGTCCTGTGGGGTCTGACAGGCATCGAAACAGGGCCATTCTGTCTGTGGATCATGCCCACCCACCCCTCTGGGCTGTCCTTCAGGCGAAGTGACCCTTCCACTTTCCAGGTGTCTGACTACCTCTTCGTGTGACACCTGGACCCCACCATCCCAGTCACCTCCATCTCCTTAAAAAAAATTAAGAACAGGCTTTTCATTTCCTTCTAAAATCACAGACCCAGAGAGGAAAACGGGTTGTGCTTTGCTGGGAGCTGGATGGCACTCTGGATGGGAAGGGGACGGAGGGGTGCGGTGGATCCCAGACCCCAGGTGTGCAAGGCACCATAACCGTTCACTTTGAGCTTGCTGGGACCTCTACCTGGTTCTCAACCCTCTTTGGCAAGGCTGCTAATGCTTCCTTTCCTTAGTTGAAGAAGCAAATTGGAAAGAGGCCTTTCTGCATGAGAGTTTTCCTTCTTTGCACTCCAAAGCCACTGTTTGCTAGCAGTGTAGATTACCAGTGATACTGACCATTACAGATGCAGGTTTACTGGACAGTATACAAGATTTTAAAATCCCCGAAGGCAAAGAGCCTGCGGGTTTTGATTTTAAGCCCCAGGGCCTGCATTCTTGGAGAGGTCTGAAATCCTAGTCAAGCTGTACTCCAGCCAGAGGCGGGGGTAAATCCAGTGGGAGGGCGGAGGGCGACGGAGGGCAATGGAAGGTTTGCCCCCCAGCCCTGCCCTAGGAGGCGTTTCTTCTCCACTTTTCCTGGGTTTGGCTGAGAAGCCTTTTGCCTTCTCTCTGGAGCTGCGTCTGGGGTGGGGGAGGGAGGGCTAATTCGTGTCAGATGGAGGGGCGCCGGGGGACCGTGCGCTCACTCTTCTGGCTTTTGTTCCCGGCATCTGACTTCTGACGGCAGAGTGGACTTGGAGTTGGCGGCCGCTTCTTTCCGGGGCTCACGGGGTCGAACTTTTCCTGACGCCGAGGCGCAGGGGCTCAGGAGGCATACCTGCCTGGCACCGCCGCCGGAGAGGTGTCCGCGCCTGCCTCTGCCTTCCTCGCCCGGCCCGGCTCTCCGCGGGGGCCAGGGCGGCCATGCGGCTGCGCGCCCTGACACCCGGGCCGCCTGGAGGGTGCGCGCGCGGGGCGCGGGTGCGCCGGCACCGGCGCCAGGTGAGTGGGAGCCCCGAGACGGGGGAGGGGCGCTGGAGCAAGGGTCAGGGTGCTGGGAGCGGCGACGCGGGCGCGCCGGGCGCTGGGACGGGGTGGGGGCACTTTTGGGTTGGTGTGCGCGTGTGCTTGTGTGTGCCCGCGTACCCCAGTCTGAGTGCCGACGTGCAAGTGTGTACGGGTGCCCGTGCACTCTTGTTTGCGCGTGCACGTTCGTTCACTCCTGTGCCCTTGTCTCTGCGCGTGCTCATGTGTCCACGAGTGCGCGTGTGTCCTTGTTTGTGCGCGCGTGTGCACTTCCGCGCGCGTGTCCCCCCACGTGTGCCCGTGTATGCGCGTGTTACTTGCGCAGGAAAGGAAGAGAGAGGGAGAGCAGGGCTTTGCCTGGTGGGAGGCCGGCGGCGCCCTGGTGAGCCCACATGGGGTGGGGGACAGTTATGGCTTAATTTTCTAATCCAACTCCCTCTTGAACACACTTCCTTGGACTCCTTTCCTGGAATGGAAGTAGGACATTGGCAATTTCGCGGACTCGCTTCGTAGCCTGTGTTTCTTGCAAAGGAAGAGGGTGCTTAGCTCTATGGGTATGTGAGGGTGCACTAGCATTGTTGCAGAAATGTAAGTTAACCAGAGCCATGTAACGACACCTGGTCCTGGGACGGTACTCCATGGCGTTTGAATTAAACAGAGCAGATGCCGGGAGGCGGCTCCTTACTAGGTTCAGCAGTCCTTTCTCTGAGTCTAATAATTAGGCATTTATTGCATTCGTCTTCCCGGAAATTTATGTAAGGTTCTGAGGAGTGAGAGTTTGTCAAAATGTCAGCTACTTCACATCACTTTGAGCTGTGCTGCATTCTGTTTTTAGTTTAACAAACACTATTGCTGGGAAGCTTAGGGACAGTGTGTGGTATGCAGAGGGTGTCCCTGTACCCTGGGTCCTGTGGCTGCTGGTGGGTGGAAACATCTCTGGGCAGGAACACCCCAGAGGTTTGGGGTCCACTCTGCCCATGCAGGAAGTTTTTTTTGCGTTTAACTTCACAGTCAAGTTGCTTGGTGTTTTTGCTCAGTATCTGCCCCCCCCCCCCCCCCCCAGAATGCTACTGAAAGCTTCCAGGTATGAAAACCCACACCTAAATCCTCTTTCCTGGAAGGAAAATATAGCTGGATTGTGCTAATTTAGCCTTTGTGTGGGTAACTGTTGCTTCCGGAACATTAGCCCAGAGAACCTAGCAGAGAGGTCTGTGAGGTTTTGCATTTTCGCAGAGCCGAAGGTTACCCTTCTGCGCTGCTGTGGAGCACTTAAACTCGCTCAGTTCTGCAGAGATTTTTCTTTCTAAAAAGAGACCTCACAATCAAGACCGGCACTAATTACCCTGAACCCCTCAGGGAGTCCTTGTGGAACCCGCAGCCTTGCTCTCTACCCTTCCAACTGCCTGCTCCTAACAATTAAATGCAATTTAGATTCCTGAACTGAGCCTGCTAAACGCTTCAGCATTTTGGCCTCCCCCACCCCCACCCCCCTCCCCGTCTCCCCCCTCCCCCCTCCCCGTCTCCCCCCCTCCCCCCTGCACTCATTGGCCCCGCCTCTTCGGGAGAAATGAAAGCACAGTATCAGGTGAAAACAAAGGCAGTCTAATCCTGTCTAGGCTCACTTCACAATGGAGATGTTATGTACAGATGAAGCGTGAGCAGATGTTATTACACTATCTGAAATGAATTCCTCCGCCATCCAGCCATTGAAATGGCTTCGGCCGCCCTACAGCACCTCTGCTGTTTCCTTCCTCCAGGCTTCTAGCTGTCGCCCGGCCCGCAAGAATATCACAGGAACACAGTGCCTCTTTCTCCCTCGTTATAATAAAGGTATTTGCAAGGAATCAAAGGTCACAGTCTACCCCGCTGGCCCACAGAATACGGCCAGTTCATTCAGTCAACAAATATTAATTGAGGGTCCGTGGTTCACTGTCTGCCAGGCACTGTGCAGGGGCCTCGGAAGACACATGGATAAGCGCCTGGTGTCCTGCCTCTAGGAAATTACACGGGAGAGAAGGCGTGTAAACAAGTAACTGAAATATGAGGGAGGGGGCGAGTATGTACCAGCTGCGGGATTACGATAGAGGGCTGTGTTTGTCAGCTACCTGAATGCCGACCCCTGTCTGAGCTTGAGACCCGGGTGGAGACTGGGTCTGAGCCCATATCCCTTATCTGTTGGCTGTGTGGTCTTGATCTTGCATGCTGGTGCCCCGTTGGTTGAACAGTGGTTACAGCACAGAAGGGCCCTGCCAATGTCATGAACTTCATGATAGCGGTACCTTCGTCCCTCTTTTATAGGCATGGAGTACAAGAGCCCTGCTATCAAAAAGTATACAGTCTCTTGAGAAAACCAGAAACAGACACGTGAACAAGCACGTAATAACAGTGCCTTACCACGTAGGAGGAATAGCTTCCTATAGTGTGGTCCATTATGTAGTGGAGGCTCTCAGTCCCAGCTGCAGATCAGAATCCCTGGAGGAGATTTGAAAAAATTTGTCGTCTGGTCCCACCTCCAGATAAGCTGTTTTAATTGGTCTGGGGTGGAGCTTAGGCACCGCTGTTTTAAAAACTCTGCCCAAGTGATTCCCGTAGACGGCCAGTGTTCATAACTGGTACCTGCCGTAGCATTTGACTATTTACAGTAGCTTGGTTAATAGGTAGGAGGGGGCGGTATCCTTTCCCTCGAAGAGAGGTATGACTTGCCCTGGGTCATAGAGCTCGTACTGCAGGTGGCAGAAGCGGCGAGAAGACTTCTGCTTGGGGCAGGACACTTTGCCTCCTTTGACAGGCTTGACAAGATCGACACCAGGGGATATGTGATTGAGTGATGAGACTGCTGTAGGATTCCTGAGGAACTTGAAGTGGTCAGGAAGGACTTGGGGGAGGGTGGGACTAGAAATGGTCACAATAGAAAACTAGAAGTTACCAGCATTCTAGACCATTTGAATAGCAGGGGAAAGTTTGGGGATGGGCAAAGCATGCTTTAAAGTTGGAATGGCATGTCGGAAAGGGTTCTCTGCCAATTCCAGTCCATTAGTAGTTGCACGTGGGGTTCTCCTTGTCAGCCGTTGGTCAAGGAATACGGGGTTGTGGTCTGTGTGTTGCGTATTTGCTTTTCCTTTTATCAGTATCAGAGGAGCATTTGCTTTGTTGAAAATTAGGATTCAAGGTGTTCATTCAGTACCTCATGTTTATTAGTTATGTAGAATCCCAAGAACATACTTTCTTTGAAACTCTTTAGTTTAATGTTTTCATACTAAAGACACATTTTCAAAATATAATAGAAAACATCACACTGTACACTTAAATATGTGCAGTCTTCAAAGTTGTTTTGGGAGTTTTAAGTGCTTTGCATTTAAATATGAATTTTAGAATCAGTTTGCCAATTATAAAAAAAGAACCTTCTGGGATTTTGATTGAGATTTTGTTGAATCTATAGATTCTATGGGAAGAATTGTGTCTTAATTACATTGAGTCTTCTGACCCATGAACATGGTATATCTCTCCATCTATTTATGTCTTCTTTAATTTCTTTCCACAGTGTTTTGTAGTTTTTAATTTAGAGGTCTTTTGCAGTCTTGTTAGATTTATCCCTAAGTATTTCATATTTTTGATACTAATATAAATGGTAATATTTTTCGAATTTCAATTTCTGGATGTTTCTTGCTGGTATGTAGAAATACAATCAGCTTGTACATTCATTGATCTTGTATCCTTCATCTTTGCTAAACTCACTTGTTAGTTCTGGAGCTTTTTCATAGATTTCATTAGCTTTTTCTCCATAAACAGTGATGTCATCAGTGATTAAAGACAGTTTTTACTTTCTCCTTCCCAAACTGGATACCTCTTATTTACTTTTCTTGCCTGATTAGAACTTCTGGGACAAGGTTAAATAGAAATATTGATTGCAGAAAACCTTGCCTTGTTTCAGATCTTAAAGGGAATGCATTTAGTCTTTCATCATTAAGTATGATGTTTGCTGTAGGTTTCACATATACAATTTTATGAAGTTGAGGAAGTCCCTTGTTATTCCTATTTGGCTTTTTTACCAGGAAATGGAAGTTAGATTTTATAAGAGGTTTTTTTTGTTGTTGTTGTTGTGTTTTGTTTTGTTTTAGTTAATTGATTGACATTTGAATGTAAAACCAACCAAACTTGCATTCTTGGGAGAAACCCAGTTAGCTATGATGTATCAACTTACGCACTACTTAGAAGTGTGTTATTTAGTTTCCAAATACTTGGGGAATTTTACTGAGATCTTTCTGTTTCTGATTCCTAATTTAATCCCATTGTGGTCAGAGAACATATTTAGTATGACTTGAATACTTTTAAATTTAGTTAGACTTGTTTTATGTCCCAGAATATGGTCTACCTTGCTAAATATTCCATATGCATTTGAAAACAATGTGTATTCTGTTGCTGTTAGGTCAAATGTTCTATAAATGTCAATTAGGTCAAGTTTTTGATAATATTGTTCAAAGCTTATGTATCCTTGCTTATTTTCTGCAATAATTATCAATTATTATTATTGATAAAAATAATTATTAATTATTGAGAAAGGGTATGTTAGTTTGCTAGGGCTGCCGTAATAAAATAACACAGGTTGGGTGGCTTAAACAACAGAAATTTATTTTCTTACAGTTCAGGAGGCTGGAAGTCCCAGATCAAGGTATTGACAGGTTTGGTTTTTCCCAAGGCCTCTTTCCTTAGTTTGTAGATGGTCACCTTCTCACTGTGTCCTCACATGAACTTTCCTCTGTGTGCAAAGCTTCCCTAGTGTCTCTTCTTCATATAAGGACACCAGCCCTCTTGGGTTAGTTTCCTACCCTTATGGCCTCATTTAATGTTGATTACCTCTTTAAAGGCCCCATCTTCAAATATGGTCACATTGGAGGTTAGGGCTTCAATATATGAAATTTTGGGGGACACAGTTCAGTCTATAACAAGGGGTAATGAAATTTCAGACTGTGTATGTTTGCCTATCTCTGTTTGCAATTGTCAGTTCTTGTTTCATATGTTTTGAAAGTTT